GAGGGAGAAGGAGGACCACGCAACCACTTTCCCCCACATCCATCTGTCAGTCAGAGAGTGTGCCCACTGATGCTGTTGTCACCCTGGCATCCTGGCTCTGCCTATTAGCCTGCTAGTTAGACTGGCATTTAGACTGGCAGGACACACACGGGCAGGAGCCAAAGGGTCTCCTGCTTGGCTAGCACCAAAGTGATGTAAAACAGTAGACAAACCCACAGGAGCACATGGCAACATGCAGCAGCTGCCTCCTCCAATCACGTCACTCTGGCCTAATTTGATTCCATCTCGACAGGATTCAATTACATTTTATTAATTTTGGCGCAGTGCGACTCCACAGAGTTTGATTCAATCTCTGGCAATGCAATTTAACTAGATGCAATCAGATTCACTTGAACTGAATGAATTTTTAAACATAATCTCTTCCTCGCTTCCTCCCTCTGTATAAATCGTGTTGCTCACTCCATCGTTCTCAATTTTCTCTTTCTGGCATTCAGACTATAGACTATAATGAGCGACGCCAAACTCTTCCTACAAGAGGCCCCAACTGCTTAGCGTATCTACGTTTTCTTGGCTTCTGGTTGGGAGAGACTCCCTGAAGAGAACATTAGTCACTTCCATGATAATAATGGCTAATTTGAGTGAAAATGGAGCGAGGTTGGCTGAGGGCATTATTGAACATGCCGCTGTTTTTGCTCAATGCATCACAAATAAGGTTTTCAAAAAATATGCCAAACGTTCACCTACTGGAGCTTGTTGTTTTAATATCATCTCGCCTCTCAGTACTTCTGCTATTGCGTAAGAAATGTTATTAAAAGACAGTTTTTTCAAGCAACTATGAACGTTTTAGCCGCACAGGTCTCCTAATCCCTGATGCTAATCCTGTTAACCGAGCTGAGAGCTGATGACTGTGCAGCTTGTACACAGAGCTTCCCAAACTACCCTTGAGCAAGGCAATTCGTTTCTTTTAAAGGGTGCTGCACTCAGACTGACCTGTAAACTTCCCAATGAAGTAGTTACGTACACGGAAGAATGAGGACATAAACAGACGCTGGGTATAAACATGTAAAAGTGTAGTAATTATAGGTGTTCTGAAGTTCTTTTGTGTCTCCTTGTGGTTGTTTTGTTCATCCTAATGGTCCCTGTGTTGTCGTTTCAGGTGTCTTTGAGGTCGGTTTAGTTTCTGTTGTTGTTTTCTTCTCTTGGAGGTTGTTTTTTTTGGTCTCTTTGTGGTAATTTTGGGTTTCTTTGTTGTCTTTTTGTATCCCTCTGTGGTCACTTGATTGACTTTCCAACGAGAAATGTCAACACTTCAAGCAGATGCTCTGATCTTTGGGTGGCCTGACCCTCCAGGACCCGTTGGCTAGTCGCTGTTATCAACCGCATGGTAACATATAGAAGATAAGGTTGTTTAAAAATATATCTGAATTTCCCACTGCTGGAACCAGGCATGTGAGAAAAGTTTTAGTCACACAGTCTACTCTTTAATAATTTAATACTTCTACAGTCTTTGAGTTTGGAAATGGGCTGGAACATATGCATGTAGGAGTTAGAAAAAATATGGCAATGTCATATCTCAAAATTACTGCTCATTTCCTTTCGGTCTTATTTACGCCACTTCATTCTCAGCAGGCTGACAACAAGCCCTGCGGCACAGATGTTCGGCAGTGCTTTTCTCAAGTGTTCAGGTGTTTTGAATATCACACACGCCTCTTGTCTTGCATGCACAAATTCAATGGTGGGACCTGATCTCGGCGGATCCGGTGCTAAAGGGCACACATGAGAAATCAAAAGCTTGCAGGCAAATAAATAGTGTATCCATAACACTGAGATTGCCCTTTGTACAATTCAGAGGCCTGCTGACTCTAGTCGTTCCTTAAATTGATTTCTCATACGCGGTTGCCTCGAGGGGGTGATTCCATTTTCATATATACACTGGCTCTCTATATGTGTGCTCTCAGTCTTAGTCTATTAATCAAATAATGCAATCAAATTCACCTTGCAGGACCAAGACACAGGCGATTTCTTTCGTGAACAGCTTTGCATGTCTTTAATAAGGGTTTGTGAGTGGTGTTGCATGGTGTTAAGAACTGTGTGCAGCATTGTTCCAGTATCAAATAATCAGCAGAGCAGGAAATATAGAAAGATAGAAACTTTTAGGGTCTAGATTTAGTTAGAGTTAGTTAGAAAAAAAGAATGGATACAAGGAAAGATAGAAAAAAAGTTCCTCTTGCAACACTAGTGGAGTGAATTTCCGAAAAAAAAAAAGAAACCCTGCACTACCCTCATGAATATTTAACCGATGATTCATTTGAATAGTTTGATGCCGAGTACAGTGTCTATGTGCGGTTAAGTGTGTGTGTCCCTGCATTTATGCTCACTCATGTGAGCATGTACATAAACCAGAACTACAGGATGTTAGCAAACCTCAAATACATGCTTAAGCCTCGGCTCAGGGTGCAATGAGAGACACTTAAGCGCAGGGGCATAAATCTTTTAAACCCTCAGCCACTGACATTTCCCCCCATGAGATACAGCGAAGTATCTTAATTACGCCACTTAACATCACATCGGCGAGTCCCGGGTGAGCCCAAGCAAGCATATAATTCATTGTACTAAGCATCGGTAAAAGCCAAATACATAAACCTTCATGGATGCACACTCAAGTGCAGGGTAGACGGTGAGCTGGGACTTCAAAAGCAAATGTTTTCCTTCAGAAGTCAGCAGGGGTAGAACAGAGGATATCTGTAGAGTTAGTGTGGTGGGAGCCGGGGCACCTCGCTGACTCCTGTCAGAAAATCAAGCTGGCGTCATGAATCGGTGCAAGCGAATGAAACCTCTTTCTGGTTCTACTTCTTTTATTAATGGTTTAGTGTCCACTCCAAAGCCCCACGAGGATAAGAAACGCTGAGAATCAGGCTCCCTGTCAGGTTCCAGTACATACCCTTCATCTCAGAACTATCCTTATTATTCACATTACAGCATGTTCTCTGCTTTGTCTTATAGGTCAATTTGCATGGACTTTGCTATCATGAAAAACATGATAAGAATGAAAATTGGATGGCTGGATGATGTAATACTACTGTAACAAAGGGAAAGTAACAAAGCCATGAATATTCCAGTTGAGGCTTACGAACAGTAGCCTGTGCCTCTTTATTTTACCTCAACTGCCAATATACTACAGTCCTTTTAAAATGTTGAGCATAATCAAACTCTGTGCCTCTTGTGTGTCTGCTTCTGTTTCCATGCCACAAACCACCAAAACAAACACCCATTACATCATGTGGACTCAGTTTCATCCCAGAAATCTCCCTATGACAAGGCAGCTACAGGTTTATAATCGGAATTATATGCAATTACACATTAGCAGTGACAGATGGACCTGTTATAAATATGCATAGTCTTTTTTTACACCTCCTCAAACTGGTGTTATGTATAGCACACTGAAGTATGGTAAAAACTGATCAATGATTCTCCATAGGAGCACCTCCCACACCCACACACACACCTTTGAGACCCACTACCCTGAAGGACTTCAAGCAAAGCAGTCAGTATGAATGAGATGCAACACGCTTTAATGACCAGTGGCTTCACTCTTGGCACCACTTTGCAGCGCTCTACCCCCACCTGCCGTTGTGCGCCAGGAACCCAGTGTGACAACACTGCAAAAAATGTCCATCTAACTCTTGTTTTTTTTTAATAAGTGGGAAAATCTGGCCAAGGGGATATGATAATGCGTCTTATCCCGGATGCAAATTAACTTGTTGCAAGATTTTTTTTAAATAAAAGAAGCCTGCCTGAAGTGCATTTACATTTGTGCTGAAATAAATAAAATAATAAAATAATCCCATCCTGCAAGCAGTTCTTTTTCGCCTCCAGAAATGGATTAACACTGAATCTGAAGCTACAGGAGTTGAGTAATTTCCGCGGTGCACGCGGGTCTCATCCCGCGGTGACAAGGCGACGCGCGTCACTGACCAGGACACACACACACACAAACACACACACACACACACAAAGGCCAAAGGCGAATGTGTAAACCGAGTAACATCTTCATCTTCCACCGTGCGCGAGACCCACACACACACACACACACACACACACACACACACACACACACACACACAAGAGGGCGCGCGCACAGACAATCGCCGCACCTCCGGATCAGGTGCGCGACGCACGTTAAAGCCAATTACCGGTGAAGTGTCACTCTGCTGTCACAAAGGCAGCTCATATTTCCAAACTTTCCCGAATCATTTCACAATGTGTAACAGCATCACGGGCCCGATATCATCGTGCTACAGCCTGCGCACAAGATGCAGACACAGAAGGAAGATGTTTCACCGTGCTTCTTCAATCTAGCCTACAGTCATTTTCTACAGCAACACAGAGTGGACAGGAGAGTGGGTGAAAACAAGGCAGGAGAATATGATCCAGCATATTGGAACTGAAATGTATGCCTCCATGTATGATGCCAGTTGAAGTTAGGAGACATCATCGATTTTTAGGATGAAACCAGGCAAGACGGAAGCTCTTTGTAAATAAGATCCATACACCAAAACAGCACAGCACCCCGAGGCTGCTCCTAAAGATGAACAAACTAAAGAGTGAGCAATGGTATATGATGAAGATAACAGTTTATGTCCGGGGCGTGCAGAGTCTACATCTCAACAGCTCACCCCTTAAAAAAAAAAAGGGACCCCATCATAATCCCCCTTTTCAGTCAGAAACCATTCTGGCCCCTGCAAGACGTGCTTCAATTACCAAACAACGTCCAGTTAAACAATCCAGCCCTCTCTCTCTCTCTCTCTCTCTCTCTCTCTCTCTCTCTCTCTCTCTGTCTCTCTCGCTCTCACTCCCTCTCTTACTCTAGCTCTCTCTCCCTCCGCTCCCTCCACAGCAGCTCTCTCTGCCTGCTGCAGCTCACGATGGCAAATGCACTCAACTTGTCCACAAAGTCACCAAAGCTCGATGGTTTGACACACTCACGTCCGCACCCTTACCTTGACTGCCGCAGACGAGCACCCCGAGGAGATGGACGAGTTTGAGCATCATTTTCGGGCAGGGTTCGCGCTGCCGGACGCTGCTTTCGGCTGCTGTAAAAAACGACAAGGGCGACACACACGCTCGGCTCCGCGCATCCGCTGTCTTCTTGGGCTCCGGCTCCGCTGGCGACTGGTCTGCCTCAGCTCCTTCCTTCCCTTCCTTCCTATACGCGCGCTCCCGCTCGCCGCTCGTTCACAGTGCCTGCGCCGCGTTGAGGACCCCCCCCCCCTCACCACCACCATCGCTTCTCTCCAACCTCACTGCTGGAAGCTGTTGGTGGAAGACAAACATGAAGGAAATCAAGCAAAACATGTTTATATTTGTCATGACTTCATGAGGTATTTGAAGACATGCTGTAAAGTTAGAGGGGGAGGATTTAAAGAAAAAGAAAACATCTTTAGTCCCAGGGTCTGCAGGAGCATGGCTAGGAACACCTTTCAAATATCTGTGGGTCCCCTCCAGCTGTGGGCCCCTGGAATCCTCCACCTATAATCCCACATAGGAACAGAAGAGCCTGCTTATCCCTGAAATCCAGACGAACATGCAAAGTCGGAAAAGTTTGCCTGGTGTGAATAATGCAGACACTCCCAGGCCTTTCCTGTCACATGTTTTACACAATGGGGCTCATGCGACAACATTTTTCTTTGAGGTTTGCTCGTACGCGTCTTCCAAATCAGTGTCATTAGCTTGTCCATGCAAAATAGGTGAATGTATGTAAATATGTGAGTGTTAACTCTTTAGCATCTTTAAAGTAACAACTGCACTGTGTCTGTTAAATCTCAATGCTCTTAGAAACCGCACCGCGCAGAAGAAAGGCAAATTTAGAGACTAGCATGCGAGCATTTACTGATCAGTGGAGAACTTGGCAGCTAAATAGATAGAAAGCAAACATTTACTGAAATCTGATTCCATCTAAAATAATTCACCAACAAAAATAACATAAATTACAGCAGTCCTGCATAAGACATATTTGGATTTGTGAAGGCAGTGATTATCACCTCACATGAAGCCAGGGAAAGAGATCTCAGACTTGTGAGCATCCCTGTTGAGCGCAAATGAAGTGGTGAATTAAAACTGACAAAACACTGATCCACTTAGCCAAGGAACCAGAAATGAAAGTGGATATCGAAATCTCTGGAGACCTTAGTTGGGACTGATATCTTGAAAACTGGGCGACATGCTCTTTTTCAGCCAGAAAAAACACATCACGGCTGCAAATTTTGTCAATATCATTCATAGATGTCTGAGGTAGGATCAGGTTTGTCTGTTGGATGGACTTCAAACCATAGTGCCCTCTCTGGATTTCATTTCACGACAACAACAATTCATTTTTTGGTCTGTGACTTGACCCACATTGCTGTGCTCCTAACGGACACGCGTCAAAAGGGCTCCATGGCTGTAATTCCCCATAGTCGCCTGACAGACTGATGCAATGTGGGTAAACTGTGGCAGATAAGGGAAAGTCCCAACCTGCCTAACAGCCATCTAGAGGTGAGTTGTAGCCTCTCAGGATTGTGTCGCGGTGCAATATGTGTCAAACTCTCTAAGTGGAAACTGGGAAGGTGTGAAAATGAAGATCAACAATCCTTTTTCCCAGTGAGGCCTATTTTTATTTCAGCCGAACAATGCTGGAGTTGTGGATTAGGTTTAAGTGAACGCAGGTGATTCAATCTCTAATTGGTGCAATTATTAATAGTCCATTGTTCCTGCTAAATTCAGACAGACTTTTTTCTCACACAGCTGCACTACTGCTTAAAGAGCCACTTAATATTACTGCAGTCTCTCACTTGCGGAAAGGTCATTATTAAAGAAAATGAATCGCACTAAAGAACAAGAACAAGTGTGAACTCTACATCAGTTCTCCCCATTGCCATTGGTTCCCACATGGCATGAGTGCAAATTTATGATTTTAGTTGTTCAGTAGTTTTCATGTTTTAAGACCGTGGCCAGATGAGTCATTGAAAAGGCAAAGTTCAAGTTTTTTTTTTTGTTGTTTTTTTTTTTTTTTAAATCAGCATTGTGAAATGTCTACCTGCTCTTTAACTGGATGGCGAGGATGCAAAAAGTCCTTGTAATGCAGAATAAATCCAACCCCAGTGTCAAATACTCTTGACATGAACTATTCATGACTTTTGAAACAAGATCGTTCAAGAGAAAAGCATGTCTGCTTGCAGCACGAAGGTCATGAAAGTGAAGCGAAAGCTCCACATTTGAATTTAAGTGTTTGTTTTGATTCTTTTGTTCGCTTTATAGAAAGATGGATACCCGGGAAGTGACTTGTAACAGGAAAATACTGTCTTTATGCACCACTTATGTACATTGCAACTTTCATGGAGTCGAAGTGATGGTCCAGTCACGTTAATGTTAGTCTGTCACGACCGAACATGTCCATTTGTCACACTTTCAGAATGGTAATTGTACATATATCAGTAAAAAACTATCATTTGCATCACTTCATTGCCTTAAATAGGTATGTTTTCTACTTCCTTTAAATCAATAGTAACATAATAACTGCTGTCAGGGTGCGTCCAACTGTACTTAAAAGGCACAGTCCATTCCACAACAAATATGTCACTTCACTGCCACTTCACTGTTGCAAAGTGTTGCATAATGCTGCCTCCTTTGTGCTGGGGAAAAAGAAAGCCTTGAGTGTTTTGCACCAAGTGGAAAAACTTGTGGCCTGTCCTGAAGTCAGACTGTCAGTGATCGCTCTGTCATCACCGCCATCACCCGAGCGAGCCCTGCCGCCATAGCAACGAGGTTAAATGGCTGTATTGAAGAGCGGGCCTGAGCACTGGAGTTGCATACACAGACAATTCATTGTTGGGGTCTTTGTAAAGCATAAACAAGTCTGTAACACCCCCCACCCCACCCGCCAACGAGTGATGGGAGATGCATTACCACTTCAAGTTTAATCAAACACACAAGTAGAGCAGCACGTATATATATCTCAAAACCTCAAAGGCTGACCTGTAAGTATAACATCTCCATCAGGTCAAGAGCTGAAATGAATATTTGATGTTAGAACAGTGCAATCCATATATAATAGTCTTCCCTTGATTTCACTGTGTGGGGGACAAATCGCTTTCATCACATTATCTCAGAACAACTGTGCATTGCCCTGCTTGCTCACAGGTTTTGTCAACAGTCTAGTGTCTCCGCTCTCACCGTGACCTCTGCAAATATCACAATACCACAAATTACAAGTTCCAGTCCATTCATTTTTCACAGCTAGATACAACAAGTACAGTCACACAAGGTCTGTCCTCATGTACAATCTTGAGGACATTGAATGCAATTTTATTTTATTACCTCAGACAAGGAGGTAATGTTTTCACTCATGTCTGTTTGATGCAGAAAGTACAGAATAGATTTGCACCAAACCCCGTGGACGGATGAAGCATGAGCCAGGGAGGAACCTGTTCAATTTTGGTGCAGATCCAGCTAAAGGGGCGGATCGATGAATTTTAACATTGCAAGACAGGGCATTTTTTGTCGGTTTCTCAGGAAATAATGTTTGGATCTTGAAGTTAAAAAAATGAAAGAAAAAAAAGAAAAAATCAAACATTTATGGTCTTGAGCTCTATGAGTTTGTACAATTTGGTGCAGATCTGGCAGACATGTCCAGGATTGTTTGGCCTTGGCAGATGTATGCGCTCTACTCGGTGACTTTCTAGTGTTTTTTATATTTCTACTCCACTACATTTTTACCTAATATTTTTTGAGAGCTACAGTTGCAGTTTGTATATTTTATATTACATAAAAAAACATATGGCCTGCTTATAAAATATGATGCAATGTAATGTGTGTGTGTGTGTATAAATAGGGGTTTAATTTGCTCCACCTTAACCAGCTGCGAATAATATTCTAATTGTATAATATACATAATAATATAGCACTCTGAAGCTGTGCATTATGAGCCCTTGTACTTTTGATACTTGAAACTTCTGATGATAATTCTTAATATTCACTTATAGTAAAAAGGAATAGTAGATGAACCTTTTGGAATGACCTCGATTTATGTTACAATAATAAACAAACCGTTTTTTAACTAATAACACACAAGTCTTTTCCATATCGAAAACATAGTTAAAACATTCATAGGTGTCAGTTGACTCAATGACACAAGACTGGAGGAGTGGGTTACAGCTACTTTGACTAATAAAAAAAAAACAAGAAAAACAAAAAACTGTTTGAGTTTGCAAGAATCATCTGCTGAAATCTCAGAAGACTTCCCATCCAGAACAGTTGCATAAAGGTGAAAGTCATCTCAAAGAGTTTAAATATTCATCAGTCCGCAGTCAGACAAACTCTCCCTCCCACTGGCTACTCTCCCTAGAAGGGTTTTTTTTTTCTTTTTGTTTCCACTGTAAGTTCATTTTGAATGCAAGACTATTACTTGCAAAACGTGTTTTTACACTTTGGTTTTGTTGATGTTACTTTAAACAATACTTTATATTAAACAATTTGTATTAAACAATACCATTTTATTAATGTGCAGTAAAGGCAGTGGTGAAAAGCAACGATGCGCATTTAGTAAAGTACTGTAATTAAGTACACTTAGTTAGTTGTACTTGTTCTGGGAGTTTACGCTTCTACCGCGCTACATTTCAGAGTGAGCCAAAAGGTTATGGTTGGAAATTGTTAAGAAATAGAGGGATATATTTACACTGCTATCCCTGTACAGTTACAGTGAGAGTTCCAATCTCATATCATGCTCTTCCTATTGGGATTTGACACACATGCAGGATCCTGACATGTAGTGTGGCAGCCCACAGCACTTTGTCTCTGCCTTTCAAAATATATTAAAAATGTTTCTCATCTGTGCAGATCTCCCCAAAGAACACGGTACATTTTTATATCTTCCTCTCAAAGTCTCAAAGTGAGGAGCGAGTGAGTGGGTGAATGCTGCGTGTCAAAACATCAGCTCCCCCGATAATATGTCACACTGTGCATTATGACGTGTGGAAGTGAGTCACACGCTTTCATGAAACACATGCACATCTTTTTTTTTTCTTTCT